CTCTCTCTCTCTCTCTCTCATTCTCTCTCTCAAATAAATAAATAAATAAAATCGTTTACAAAAAAAAAAAAAAAAGAAATTCCCGAGAAACACAGAATAAGATCTGACAAAATGAAGAGTGACATGTTATGAATCAAAAGGCTTAGTTCTGTACAGATGTCATTTCTTCATGATGGGAATGTCATAGATACTCTTTAAAACATTATAAAATGATTCTGCAATTTATTTGTGTGAAATTTAAGTGGCTAGTAAGGAAATTTGGACAGAGTCATGAGAAGGGGTCCATCCTCCAGGTCAGAGTCCTGCCTGAAAACCGTAGAGCCCAGGGTGTGACATTGTGGGCAGACGTGTGCACTGGTGGTGGTTCTGGTCTCCGCTGTGCAAGGCATTCTGGGTACTGTTGAGTGCTTGGTCAGCAAGGAAGGAGTTACCATGCAATTCAGTGATTTCTCATAGAAGTAAGGAGAAAAGTTCTTTAAAAAAAAAAGGGGGAGACCAATTTCACTTTTCAGCTTGCTGTTGAATTCCATTGGACGAAAACAAATAATGATTTTAAATGTCTGATAGTTCAGTTTTGAGAGGAAATGAATGTACGTAGAGTAGGAAAAAATAAATGTCATCTTTAGATATTAAGCAATTGACACGTGATGCTGCTTCCCTTCTTGAAGATTATGTGGCTGACATGCTGTGCTTTTCAGTTTTATAATTTGCTGGTTTTCTCCTCAGGATTTTGCAGGTTAATTCCTCATGCACGCTCACCAGGTACTTGGACAATATATTTTGAGGGTGCAGATTACGAGAGCCATCTTCTGCGTGAGAACACGGAGCTGGTAAGTATTGTGAGGGTGACAGGCGGAGTACAGACTAACCTGTATTCCTTACAGTTTGAAAATGTAACGTAAACTCCTTCTTTGATTATAGTGAGCATTGTTGTGACAAAAATATTTTAAAATCACCTTTAAACACTAATTTTATTTTTAAAAAATCTGAAACCATGATTCTAGGCCGTGTCTGTACACTTTTGTCCATAAACAAATAGTATTTTTTAAAATAAAGAATATGTCTACCCACAGCTATACCAGCCTTAATATTAATACATATTTTTTAAAAGATATTAATACGATAGCCTTACGAATTTTATTAGAAAATGTTTTTCTAGGGGTGCCTGGGTGGCCTCAGTCGGTTAAGCGGCTGCCTTCCTCATGATTTCTGGGTCCTGGGATCAAGTCCCACGGTGCGCTCCCTGCTCAGCAGGGTGTCTGCTTCTCCTTCTCCCTCCGCCCCTCCCCCTGCTCTCTCTCTCAAATAAATAAAAATTAAAAAAAAATTTTTTTCTCTGGTAGAAATATTTTCACCTTATAGTTGGTTCTACCTTGTTTTAAATACGTATCAAATCACTTGCTGATATTTTGTATCTTCTGGAAGAGAAGTCAATCCTAGTATTTGCTAGCTTCACACATTTTATGGAAAATTCTGCTTTGCCTCCTATAGAGAGTTTTAAACAACAGAGAATGTTTCCCTGTGCCCTAGAACATGACAGCAGACACAGTTGTCCTGTATGACATAGACTGCCATATCTCCGATTAATAGAAACAGATGAAATTTTCCCTTTTCGAACTTTGTTATTGAGTTTCATTTAAATATCTTTCTATAATTGCCATTTCATCTTTAAGCCACTTAAGGGTTTGAAGGAGCGAACAGATGTGACCGTACTTTTGTTGAGGTTCCTATGGGTCAGGGTCAGTGTGTTATGTGTGATTGATTGCATGTGGCCACTTACTCATCTGTCCACCGATTCTCAGAAGGCATGGAATTGTCCAGCACGCCTGACCCGCCAAGATTTAGAGATTCTGGTGTGCGAAAACAGCCAGATACCTTCTGAAGCTTCAGAGACTTCCTGTACCACCCTCAAATATCAACCAGTAGTCAGTCAAAACTGTGTGCCTATTATGTACCTAATTTCTAAGAAAACATAGTTTGTGTAAGGTGGCAATACTTAAAACATGTAATATGTGTTTTGTATATCAAATTCCAAGTAATTATTTGTGATGACTGAGTAGCCTGCTTTAGACTGGAGTGTGTGTCCTGCCGTCTCCAGCAGCTGAGTTAGTGGACGGTAGCTCTGTCCCATCGGAGAGCCGATGGCGTGTATCCACTGACACACCGACAGTGTGCCTCTCACGCTTTCTCTCGGCCTCGCGAGCTTTTTGCCGCATCCCGAGTGATAGCAGTTCCCAACTCCCATATTTTATAGGACAGCAAGTCCCTTCGTAGATGGGATCACGCCTTCTTCATCTTCCTAGTGTATTCAGAGATCCTTCAGGAGCTTTCAAGTCTTAATCTAAAAGAAAAAAAAATTGTAATGTCACCTAATCTTGCTTGTTTTCCTTAAAGCGTTTTCTCACTGACCTTGGTTCTAACTTAACAACCCACATGTATAATTGCCACTTGTTGGCAATGTGCCTTCATACTTAACGTATCTGATTAAATTATCCCTCAGTGTGTATGCGCTAGTAATTTTCCTCTGTAATTTTGTTTATTCTTTGGGTGACGTGTGACGTGTCTAACATGTAGCCTCAGTGGGCAGTTCCTCATTTGCTTAGGGGTCAGTTTGAGAACTGACCTCCGCCCCTGAGCCGTGACTTTATTACCCAAAGTACTTGGAACGGTGGTGCCCACATCATGGGGTGGCCTGACCTCAGATGGCGCCTGCATTCTCCCAAGAGACAGATGTGTGATCATCTTTGTTATGACTCTTTTGCTGACCTCCCCATAGATGGTGGAAAATAGGTTTACATTTCTTCTTTAAAAAACACCTAGTAATTTATTTTGAAAGGTGGTAAAGTAACAATTTCATTTCATTTCTATGATTGGGTTTTTCTAATCTGATAGTAATGGAAGTGTAGTTTTGTTTTCTAAATTAAGTTCTTTAACGTTTAAATAGCATTTATGACTAGTTTCATCTTCGAGGCTCTTGAGTCGAGAGTATTGATCCTTTTCCCGGGTTACTCCATGAGCAGTATCTGTAATCCTTGCTCGTTGTCTGTTCCATTACCACATGACTGTCTAAGCTAGAAACACTTCATTTCAGCCATAAAATAAACCTTTGTTTTCGTCCTTCAGGCTCAGCCTCTGAGGAAAGAACCTGAAATAATCACTGTGACTCTTAAAAAGCAAAATGGGATGGGCCTCAGCATCGTTGCAGCAAAGGTAGGGCACCGTGGGTGAGGTGAGCTGTCACACTCCATTCCTGGACCTTGACTCAGTCAGCGCTCGGCCAAGTGTGTGGGAGCCCTTCGCTGCCTGAGGACGAAGTGCGCCTACACTTCTGTTTCTCTTGGGGGTCGGTGGTGTTACATGAAAGAGGCCACGGCGCTCAGGCCCAGGCAACGGAGGGATGGCGTCCTGCTCTGAACACAGGAGCCGTAGAGAGTGTGACCTTGATGTGGAGTCAGGGGTGCTCCTGAGGAGCAGGCGGTCAGAACTTGAGCCACAGCAGGCACAGGAGAAGAGGATCCCTTAGCCTGAGACAGGAGCTAGGTCTCGCACATGCTGGGAGCGGGCACCGGACGTCTTCTCAGGTGCTAGTACGCGGACGCGTCCCCGCATACTGGTTACCCCGGCGGCCTGCTGCCTCCCCTGTCTAGGCACTCTCTTCCAGGGGGTGTGCCGTGGGGCCTAGGAGGTTGCACCCTTCCCCTGGGCTGCACGTGGGCCCACTCCGTACCGAGTGCCGCAGACCCACTTGCAGGGCGTTGGGAATTAAGTGCGTCCCAGCTAACCTCAGAGTGAGTAGTTGGGGACAAGTAGGGATGGCACGAAGCCGGGTACAGCTAAGGGAGAGTGGAGTGAGGGAAGTGGTGCTCAAGTGATTCTGGAAACTCCTGATTGACGGCTGAGGGGTTTGCACTGTGTCTTGTAGACCCCACAGAGAAAGGAAAGGGCCATGATGGAACTGGCATTTCAGGAAGCTGTGTCTGGGAAGGGCGTGGTGTGTAGGATGACTGGAGGAACCTGGGACCGCAGGTGGGATTCCAGGTGGGAGTCGGCTGGCGGAGGCGAGCCTTTGTTAGGTGTGGACTCAGTAGTCTGCTTCTGCAGCGCCAGGTTCTGTGGGGTTGCCCAGGATGGGCCAGAGGGTAGGTCCAGAGCCTGTTGGCCCAGCTCGTAGTCCAGAGTCCCTTACTCCTGATAAGGCTCATGCTGGTGTGCCATATTTCCAGACTATTCTAACTTAATGGACCCAGAACTCAAAACTTTGGAAGTTGTGAATAAGAAGGTATTAGACGTGGACTATTTTCTCTGCTTACCAACTGAATCAAATGCTCATTTTTAGGGGAAAAAAAAATATCAGGATGAAAAATTACCTTGCCACACTCAGATACACAGGAAAACTTTAGCCTGTGTGTTTCCTATTATGTGTTTATGTATATGGATCTTCTTTCCAGTATTCATCTTACTTGGGATTTGAAGTACTAACTTGTGGGATGGCAGGGCCACCGTTCATCAGCACCTCCATCCTTTTCAGCTTAGAAAGTTATGCTCTCTCTCGGTACAGAAAAACCTGTTTTCTGAAGATTGAAGTCTGATTTACGTAAGCGTCTTTGATCCTTTCCTGTAACGTGTAAAGGCATGGTGTACAAAGTGAGGCTGCATGCGGGCCCCTGCGGCCCCCTCTGGCCTCTGTTCTTGCCGGGCAGCCAGGTGTCAGTGGGTGGTTAGGACAAGGAGGTGGGCTGAAGTCACAGTCACGCCTGGATTCACTTACCTACGCCTGTGGGTGAGAGGTAGAAGGGAGGGCACTGGCCCCAGGCCTCCATCCTCCCCAGGAATGGTTCCTGCTAAGGGTCAGATGGCAGGCAGTGGGGAGAGTCCTCTCACTGCCAGGAAGGGTCCCTCCACCTCCAGTCTATAGACTGGAGCAGGGGAAGGAGTGAGAAAGCAGTGAGTGAGCCTAGAGGACAGGACCTCAGCTGAGGCCCCGTTAGCAGGTCTCTGTGTGGAGGTGCTTGGGCCAGGACCAGTGAGGACAGCTGGCCCGCCTGGCCTTCGCCCACCACCGTGGCTGCTGGCCACGTGGCTGTGCTTCTGTCCTGGTGGTGGTTCCCTGCACTTGCTCACCTCTTCCACTCCCACCTGTGCTGACCCCCACCCCCTCTGAGCTCCTGTGCCTTCTGTGTGCGTCTGCATTCACGCGAGGAAGCGTGGGGAAAATGGTGTTCTCCCTCCAGTCAGTAGGAGGTACTTCGTCATAAAAACAGAAATGACTCTGGAATCCTCGCTCTTACAGAAGTGTTTGTGACTTGTGCTAAGAAATCGTGGTAGCACGGTGACTGATTTCCGTTAGCTTCGCGTCAGTTGGGAACATGCAGGATTTAGCTTCCGGTTGTGTAGTAGTCTTAAGAGGAGGTCTTTTGTTCCTTTCACTAATAATAGAGTAACAAACTCAATGTGAAAGTAGTAGCTAATTGTTAGGGTGCTGTTTATTCCAGTAGAGAATACCAAGTGCCTGCTGTGTAAAAATAAAGTATAATTTTCAGTTTTTAACTTTGAAGTCTCTAGGTTTCTGTTGGTGGTGTTTTTTGTACTGACACATTAAAAAAAAAAAAAAAAGATTTGTAGATAAAATTGGAAAATACCAGTGTTAGCATTTCTAATTGGGATATAGGATTATAGAATTGGGGCTTCATGGGGACTAGGAGCAACACAGGAAGTTAGGTAGAAACTTTACTGCCCGAAGCTGAGACGGAGAGCGCGGCGCCTGAGTCGCGTCTACGGCAGACCGGCTGTAGCTGGTTTCTGAAAGCAGCCCGCTCGCCTTCCTGCCAGCTTCCCATGTGGCGCCTGCCGCAGGCCTCCCCTCAGAGCCCGAGAACCCAGGACAGGGGGCACCTGCTCAGTGTCTTCGGCAGGCCTGCTCCTTCCTTTTCTAAACTGGGAAGGTGGCACCCTCGCCAACATTTCAGGGATTTCCACACTGTTTTTGTTTCTGGTCTTTTTAAATACTTTCCACAGTGAAAGTATAAATTTAGAAGCAGAAGAAATTTTTTGAAAAGAGATTCCAGGGCGCCTGGGTGGCTCAGTCATTGAGCGCCTGCCTTCGGCTCGGGTCATGATCTCAGCGTCCTGGGATCGAGCCCCGCATCGGGCTCCCTGCTCGGCGGGAAGCCTGCTTCTCCCTCTCCCACTCCCCCTGCTTGTGTTCCCTCTCTCGCTGTGTCTCTCTCTGTCAAATAAATAAATAAAATCTTTAAAAAAAAAAGATTTAATGCTAAGGTGGTTAATTCATCAGCTTATTAAACAATAGATTTAATAAAAGTAAGTATGCACCTGGCTCTTGTTGTAGTTTCTCCCACCGAGAATATCTTTATCGGTACATACACCCTTGGTCATTTGAGGTGTGAGGCAGAAATAAGTAGGGGAGAGTGAATGACATCAGAGGTCATTATCCAGGGGTATTTATTGAATGTCTAAACGCCCGTGGAGAGTGGAGATAGTGAAGGCCTTCTTGAGGAAATGCCTTTTCAGCAGCAACTTGCAGGGTGCGCACGTGTTAGCCAGGTAGAGGGCGGTGGGCAGAGAACTTGAGAAGAGGGGCCGCGGGCAAAGGCGCAGCCATGTGGCTGCAGCACAGCAGCGGGGGGCAGGCCTTCCGAGGTGCGTCTGGGAGACGGGGAGCTGGGACCGCAGCTCGCACAGCAGAGTCGGCGCGCTTCTGCGAGGGGCCGGGTGGCAAGTGTTCTCTGCTTTGTGGGCCTTGCGACCTCTGCTGCGGCCACAGGGCGGTGGCCAGTGCGGGAGGGCGGCTGTGCGGTCTTGACGGGGTTGTGCATGTTAGTATCGGCCAGAGAAGTAGCTGTTGAAGGGTTTCAGATAAAGGTGCAACAGGATCAGAGTGGGGTTTTGAAAGTTTATTGTTGGTCCTTCAGAGAGCACGGGTTCGAGGGGCTCAGGAGTGCAGGCAGAGCTGCAGTGGGGGTAAGCCACCAGCAGTTTGCTGATGGAAAGTGCCGGAGGCGCCGGCCCAGGAAGCGGCCGCGGAGGCAGGTGGTCGGCCGGCTGGAGGAGGGGTAGAGCCGTCGTTGAGGTCGGGCCCTCGGTCTTGCTGCTGGAGTATCGTAGGTGCCGATGCATGTTTGTGGAACAACAGCTTTCCGTGTGATGAATGAACTGGCTGTGGTGGGTGGAAGAGAGAAGTAGCAGGTTGCACCGTGCTTCTGTGCTCAGCGTGGGGCGTCTGGAAGTGGCATGCACTGAAAGTGGGGCTGGGGCAGGGAGAGAGTCAGGTGTTCAGTTTGCGCAGGCTACCTTGGAGATCTGGGACACCGGTCTCGCTAGGGGAGTGAGGATATTGTGGAGCAGACAGAATTTGGATGTCAGCACACCGACAGATGCTCTAGAGAAAGTAACTCAAAGAATACGGTCTGTTAAGTGCACAGTGTGCCCCTCGAAGACAGGAACAGGGCGTTTATGCCTGCTCTTGAAACGAGACAGGAGTCTCGAAGTTCCCCAGTGCTTCACGTAACCTGTTTTTCTCCGACTTCTTTGTAATGTCTTTGGTACTAGAAAAGGAACATTCAGCAATAAAAATCAGAAGTCATTTAATTTACACGCATTGCTAAAGCAGCGCCGTGAGGCTGATACATCGTATAGGTCTGCATCAATTATAACAGTAGAAAGAGATTTGTTTTCGGGATTTCAAGAATGTGTTTTAAGTGCCAGGCCAGCCGGCGCACGGTGGGGGGGGTCAGCACGATTGGGAGCTGTCACTTCCCTCTTGCCAGGGCTCAGCTTGCTTCCTCTGCTGGTCCGATGCCACGGGATCTGCATGTGCACCTCACAGCCTTGGAGCCCCGAGCAGATCACGCTGGACAAGCCGCGCCGGCCGCACGGTGCCGTCTGTCATCTTGCTCTCTCCTTGCTGCCGCATGGTTGGCAAAGAAGAACCTGGAGGCCCCAGGAACTCCTACTGGTGTCTGTGTAGTTTGTGTTTTCTTTAAGCTGTTGTGGTCTTTGTATCTGGCCTAGTCTTTTTTTGATTTTTTTCCTAATTAGTGTGTGGCTAGCTGCTGTGAGCCTGGATGATGTTTTGATGTTAAGTTCCCTGACGCCCCTTCCACAATGCGGTTCAGTTTTATGAAATCCAGATGATTTGGAACAGTATGTGTGTGCAGTTTACTTTTTTAAAACATTGCTTTTGGGGAAGTTTA